CTTTGCCGACCCGCCGACGCCGAGCAGCGACGCCGACGATGCGGCCATTGTCGAGGTGGTAACCGCCGGCGGCGATGCCAAACCGCCCGCTCCGCCCGGCGTCCCCGACCCGTATTACCCCATTTACCTGCCCATCGATCAGGCGTTCAAGGCCAAGTACGTGTTCCACCAGCGGAAGGGCAAGACGTTCCAAGAGAAGGTCTACGTGTTCCTCGAACACCCGTGCGGATGGATCTGCTTCATTTACCACTTCGCTGTGTAAGTACAAACGTGCGTCAGCGCTTCACATTATGTTAAATAGACCACAGATGTATTATACGTAATAACATTGTAATAGATTATAAGATACAATATAAGAGGGTTTATAATGAACAATCTACAATGAAATAAAACTATCACACATAATAATTCTATATAAAGATATAATTTATTTTGTTTTTTTTTTTAAATTATTATTAGCGAATAGTTATAACGAAAACTGATATAGCTACCTACGAGAATATACTTGTGCACAAAATTCTACCTAAAATCATGTGTCACATAAATTTAAATAGTGTTTTATGWTTTAAAAACTCGTATATTTGGTGAATATCACCATCATGCTATTTAATAACTAGTTTTCCCATTAATGTGTTGTATAGATTACAACGCTTTTTTTTTTTGTTGCATTTTTAACACCTTCCAGCACCAAATATAACAATAATAGTACATACAAGATTTTAAATTAAGACTTGACCATCCAACATAATGCTGTGTATGATGATTTTTTTGTTGTTATAACTAAGTTAGTTGATAAATATAAAAACTCAAAATGTTTAAAAATCAATTCTGAAACATAATTCCATCATTCTAGATTCTTATCTGTTAGGTAAATAATAATAATAAATTAACATAGTACATTTTTTACACTAAACTGATGAAAAATGTTGAAAACAATAAGACAAACAAAATAATATTATAATACTGATAGAGAAAATTAATATCAACATTTACAAGTTTAGTGTTGATTTAGTGCATGCTATCATAGGTAACAAATTTTACAGTTTTTTAAACAATTTTTTTATGAATAAAACACAAAAATCATTTACGTAATATAAGTATATTAATATAGAATAATTTCTAAGGAGACYTTATGAAAAGAAACTGATGTTTTTTGAAAGAAAAATTCTTTTTTAGACCTATGAGCAAGGGAAGAAAATGAGTTATAGGGAATTTTCCGAAAACCAAAAAATATTGGACCTAATCAGGAATCAAAGATTATAGTAAGCTGGATATGTGTGGTGAAGCCGCAATCAACTCTTACGCATGGTTATGRATGAAAATCCAATAGGAAAATTCCTAATTGGGAGATCGTTGAAGATAGGAAGATTTAATTAAAAAATATGTAAAATCACTAAATGAAAGACCAGACTAGAAAACAAGTGCACCTAATTGGGATGGTTGGAGGAGGGATATTGTTTATCGAGATAGTCTTACTGACTGATAAACTTTAAAAAGAAGCATAAATTAAGTAACTATAACGGACATAAATGTATAATTATATAAAACTACTAAGTTGTATCATTTTTAAATTTATTTTTATATTAATTAGAAATCAATTTCCATAACAATAATTAGTTAATTACATTTGATAGTTTGTTTTATCATGGGTAAAATATTCTTGTTTTAGAATAATTAAAAGTTGATTTTGAAGTAGATTCTTTAAGTTTCTTATAAATCACTTGTAAATCACTTGGATAAAATTATATTGGTCATTTCATTTTCCATCAATATATTTTATATTGAATAAATAATAACTATGTACCTAATTACTATATTATTATTATTAATAACTATATATTTATTTATCTATGATGCAAATGTTTAATGAGAGTATGCGTTTTGCTGTGTATATTATATTTTATATTGAGAGTTACAAATTAAAATTTTTCGTACACTAACTGTGTTATCATTTCAATCGTTTACTTGGAAAAATCTTTAAACATAAAAATAATAAGTCCTGTACAACCAATTATAACATTGATCACACAAAAATGTAAATAATCATTTGACCTAAATTCCACTTTTAGACGTACTTGTATTTGAAACGCAAATATCTTGTCAMGCATTMACAACGAGGTGAACAAAATGTATGCGAAAATKTATTTCAATGAATTTRTTTGATTATTATAGCTTCATGTTCGTTCAATAGACAGAATAACCCATAAAAATCTATCGGATGTCTTCTGAAACTTCAGTAATTGAAATTTGGTCATAAACGAATAAACGATTGTGAACCATTTGGTTTTATATACTATTGYTATGAACTATCTGAATGGTCAAACATTTATTACGTTATTCACGATGTTAACCAAATCCTTATTAAAACTTAAACTTGGTTCAACTCAATAAGCTCGGGTTGATTTTATTTTATAGATTTTGTTAAAAGTTTACGAAACAATAACGCATTGTTTATCATTAGTAAATTAATTCAAAATTGTAAATACAYACTTGCACCCAACGTCCGATTAGTTTAAATATACTCTTGTTAGTTAGTTGCCGATTTTAGTACTAGTAATATTTAAGTGTATAGCATACAATAATATGCTCATACGTTTATATAATTTAAATGATAGTCTTGTGAAACAATTAATATGTATGATGTAAAATAGTACTATAATAATGTATATAAAAAACGTTGAAGTAAAAATAGAAAAACTATAGAAATTATTAAAAAAAAATTACATTATATCATACATTATACATATTGATTACATTTTTGAAACTTATGAAATACAAATAGTATTTATAATAATGACAACATAAGAATTATTGTAAGTAATTCGATCAAATATCAAAAATATCATTCTTATGTATGAATATCGAAAAATATCTTTTATAAAAAAAATAAATAAAAATACTAAACTAAATTAATTTCATTTAATTTTGTTTATAATTCTTCTATTATACCTATAGGTCAAGGTTGGGAAATATGGAATATACTAGCATGACGATTTTGAATTAAAAATGGCAATGTTGAGTTTTCTGGAGATGATAGAACATATTCTATAGCTATGTAATTTAGAGATAATTTAATTCTGTGAATGTGAAGGGGAGGTTCTCCGGAAATGGATAAAATACTTGGAATTGGACTATTTCAAAATGTTACGGTTGCTACTCTTAGTTCATTGTTATGAATTATATCAATCGCTTTTAAAATATTGGAGTTGGCATTGTTATAATATATTGATCCGTAGTCTAATTTTGATCTAACTAGAGATCTATATAAGTTAGTTAAGACAATACTTTTTTCGCCCCATTCAGCATGGCATAATGTTTTTAGGATAGTAAGTTATACTTTTGATTGCTCTGGTTTTAGTTTCGACTATATAAGTTTTCTAGGCGAGTTAGCTATCAAAAATCAGACCTAAGATTAATATGCAGTTCACAGAAGGCAAAAGAGTGTTTCCTAAAAATAATTTTGGTGATGAATTTTGATTTTTTTCTTATTGAAAAACATGATACATTTAGTTTTTTCGGGTGAGGAGATAAAATCTGAGTGGAAAYACCACTTCGACAGAATTTTTAGGCAATTTCGAAAAAGACAATGTTTAAGGGGAACCTTGGAGGACTCCGTTTTCAAGTACACATTTTTGTGAAATATAGTAATTTATCGTATTTTAACTTGGAAAGAACGTTAATTTAGAAAACTTACTAGAAATTAATGCAACTGCTTATTGATATTCCATTTGCTCAGTATATTCAAAACTCTATGGTGCGATTGATGCCAAACTGTGTCGTATACTCGTATGATTATTGAAGGTCTAAGCTAACGAGAATCATGGTTTTGTTTCTCGACAAACGATTCGAGTATTTCTTTTTTAATTTGGACATGACAGTCTGTTGTGGAGTGAAATTTCCTAAACCTATGTTGGTTTGGAAATAATAGATTAATTCTTTGTACATACCAATTAAGCCTGTTGTAGACTATTATTTCGAGTGTTCTACGTGGKTGTTGGGTTACACAATACCGAAATAGAACGGTATCCTGAAGCTTATTTTTTTCTTGATTTTGTTTTTTTTTTTTTTGGAATAATCCCCATCAATGCTAGAATTTTTCCACATCGTTAGAATATTTCCGGACAACCAAACATTATTATACACTAGAGGAGTTGATTTTTACCTTTAGTTGAGAGGTTTTGGATAAATGAGAACGGAATTTTGTCAGGTCTASAACTATTAAAATTTCCTAGTAAACTAGAGATAAGTTCTGACATTGTAGTAGGTTCATTGATAATCATTAAACATTGGTTTAATGTTGCTAAATAATCTGGTAAGCTGATAATTTCTTGAGTTTTTTTAAATTTCAAAGAGTCAGGATTTAAACTAGAATTGCTACTGTTGGAGAAAAAAAACTGGTCTATTACATTGGTTATCTCTAGAATATCGGTTAGCACCGTTTGTACTAGGTCGATGGCAGAAAGATATCCATTACTKGAGCTAACTCTTGTAGGTTAGATATTGTTTAGTAAGTTGAGGTTGTTGTTGCTGTAGAGTATTTGTTCGATTAATGTTCCTCGATGGTCTAAGTTATATTAAAGACTRTGGTTGTTGAAGTCTCCTAAAAGAAAATAAGATGTGGGCAGTTAATTAATGTTTTGAATATTTCAATGATCGAAATCTTAAGAAATGGGTAAATATATATTGCAAATAGTAATTGGATTTTTGGTTAATACGTCGAGCACTTCTAAATTTGTATTAATGGAAATTCCTTCTGAGTSATAACTTGAATTGATATGCGTTGCCATCCTACCACTAGTTTTACCTTCATTAGTCAGATTTATATAATATGTTGTGTAGTTTTTTAGGGAGCCGACTTTGTTGTTAATAAAAATTGTTTTTTGTAAAAATATTGAGATCGGATTGTATTTGTTTAATAATAAACATTACAATCAGTTTCATTTTTAGGTTTCAGTTTCATCAATAAGATTAATTTGGTCAGGTACATTTTTACATTGACTGAAAGTAACCCGTTTGATGACAATTAAAGCAGGTTATGGTATAATCAGTAATGAAAATTCTGAACATGGTGATCTTTACAGTTACTCCGATTGAGTTTGGTACTTTGAAAACACTATACTGGTTAGTATATACTTGTCTTTTGAAGCTTAGTATATGTGAAAATTGTTCTGTTGAAAATCTAGCTTTCGTGAGAGAAGTTTTGGAAGTAGTTTAATTCCTAGTTCATGTAACGCATTTAATATAAGTTGATTAGGAAT